CACCGAGTCCGTGATGAAGTGGAAGTGGAGGGGGTTTTTCCTGTCAAAGGCAAGCACGGCAGCATTCAGCACCATAGTAGGAAGAAAAGGATATGGCTCCCATCTCTCCCAGCCCTGCCAGGGGACAGACATCAGCCAAGTGGGCAGACAGAGAAAAATCAGCCATCTAGGAGAAACAAATTCCCCTCTGGCCCTCTAAGCAGTGGCACAGGGGGTAGAGAGAGGCCCTAGAGCTCCTTTCCTGCAGCACTCCCCCTCTGCAGGAGCTCATTTTGGGAACCCCAAACCAGTGGCCTCTGGCACAGCAGCTCCCCATTACCTGTGGAAGAGGATGGATTTCACCAGGGTGACCACATCCCGGCTCGCGTTGTGCCCGGCGCACACAATCGCAACGTGCAGGAGCTGTCCAGAGACAAACAGGGCCTTTTTGAGACTGCATACCACAACCCCCTCACAGGGGCTCCTGTGTCAGCTTCTCTCTGCAGCTCTGCCACAGGGAGAGACTCCATAACCCAGCCCTTCCGATGGGGAAAGTGTCCCAGACAGATCTGTGAGTCCCCCAACGCAGAAGCAGGGACGAGGAGTCTGGCTGCCACTCCTCCCCAGGCGGGCTGCACATACATCTGTGTCCAGCCAGGGTCCCGGTCTCCCATCCTCCATCCCCTGTGCCACCACCATCACCCACCTCGCACTTGTGCACCATCCGCTGCTTGGGGCAGGCCGTGCGGTTGCTCCTCTGTCCCCTGGGGGGGTCCCTGTCCTCGGTGGAGGCTCCCCACGGGGGGCTGCTGTCGCCGCCCTCCACCTGTGCCTGGCCGAGCTGCAGACGGAGCTGCTGGTTCTCCTCCTCCCCCCTGCGCACTCGTGAGGCCAGCGCCTCCCGCTCCCCGTCCCGGCTCGGCTGCTCCCCCAGGCAGGGCGGCAGCAGGAGGAAGCGGCCGTCTGCGGAGGAGACACGGGGCACACGATGGGCACGGCACGGACTCGTGCAAACCCTGCACGATACACCTGCAGCGACCTGCATGGCCACAGAGCACCCACCCCAAGGCCTCGGCCTCCCCTGCCCACCCTCTGCTGGGGACCGTCCCTTGATCCCAGGAGGAGCTCCCCCAGGCAGGGCGGCAGCAGGAGGAAGCGGCCGTCTGCGGAGGAGACACGGGGCACACGATGGGCACGGCACGGACTCGTGCAAACCCTGCACGATACACCTGCAGCGACCTGCATGGCCACAGAGCACCCACCCCAAGGCCTCGGCCTCCCCTGCCCACCCTCTGCTGGGGACCGTCCCTTGATCCCAGGAGGAGGACCCACTCACATTCGAGGCTGCCCACGAAGAGGTAGAGCCAGGAGAGGAGGACGGCCAGGGTCACCGTGGCGAGCAGCAGCTTCAGCTTCACACGCCAGGAGCGCAGCATGGTGTGCCGGGGGACAGGGGCAGCGAGGATCAGGTGGGCAGCCCGAGCCCAGCTGGCCCCAGCATCCTAGAGCCTGCGAGGGGCAGGGAGCAGAGAGAGTGGTGTCACAAGCAGCCCCACAGCCCAAACCCAGGTGCCTCGCCATCCCCCAGCAGGATGTCTGGTCTCCTGCTCCCTCCAGGACACTGCTTGGGTAAGTGCAGTGGTGAGACTGATGCCCTTCACCTTTCCAGCAACAGCCTCTCCCAGCTGGCACCTGCCTGGCCCATGGTGGGGCATCTGGATCCCCTCAGGGCCTGCCCTGCCACCCTGCTATGGCCACATGGCTCTCAGGGGGACTCTCAAACATGGGAGCAGGGACAGAGCCCTCCAGGTGATTTCAGTCCAGCTCTGCTCCTTGCTCCTTGCCATCCCACAGGCAAGGGGAAAGAACAGAGGGCTCCAAGGGGAGGCAGGAGGCTGTGCTGGAGGGGGCCTTCCCAAGGCCGGTGGTCAGTCACAGGGTGGTTAATGGAGCCTGCCCTTGAGAGGAGAGCGCAGATCCCTCCCTCACCGCCTCCGCAGGCCAAGGGTGCGAGACTGCTCTTCAGACGGGGCCTCAAGGACACGGCGGGCTGGCCCACATGGAGCCAGGCAGGAGCCCTGCTAGGCACACTGCCTCCTTCCCAGCACTCCCACCACAGGCTCAAAGGGGGGAAAACTCCAGTAAGCAGTTGTGCTGCAGGCCAAATGCCTCCCCCTCCGCTCATAGCTACCTGCCTTGACGAAGTTCAGTGGAAAAATCCCAAACACCTCAGTGAGACTCGCTTCCCGGCACTGCTGGCTCAGCAGGGCACGCCGAGGGACCCCTTGCTCTAAAAAAAAAGCGGCCCCAGCCACGCGTGCTGTGCTGCGTTCATTCCTCGGCACCATCAACACGCTCCCCACTTTGCTCCCATGTCCAGGCCCAACACGGGGACAGAAAGCTCATCTCCAGAGAGCCCGGTCCGAGATCCCAAAGACACAAGTACCCGGGGCAGACAAAGACCCCACAAAGCAAGGGAACACCAACCTCTCCCTGCCTGCTTGAGGCTGAGCCCCTGCAACATCTGGAGCCTCAACAAAAGCTGCCTAGGGATGAATGGGCCGGATTAGGGTCTGCTCCCCCCTGTACACACCCCGCTGGAGCCCATTGATGTGCAGATGCCCATGGGGCCGCCAGGGCTTGGGGGCTGAGGCAGGCAGCCTGGGAGCACACCAGCCCAAGCAGCCTGCCAGATGCCTGCCCACCGCAGGCTGCCCCATGGCAGCTGGCATAGCATCTGAGGCTGCACTCCTTTTCCTGGCAGAGAAGCGGTCCAGCATCACCCTGGTTTTCTGCTCTATGGAGCAAGCCAAGTACAGGCATGGCAGGGAAGACGAAGTTGACACATGGAGCACACCAGGCCCAGGCGCCCCTTCTCCCTGCCACAGCCATGAGCCGCGCTGGATCTGGCAAGGTCTCTGCACAGTGCCGCCAGCCCGACTCCCTTCCCTTCAAGCCAATCTCAACCCCTCCTGCAATCCGGGCAACCCTCAGACTTCGTGTTGACAGGCAGGGACAAGGCAAGATTAGGGTGGCCAGCAGGCACCGAGCAGTCTGGGAAGCTGAGGGATGGAAAAGGGACTTTAGCACCAAGGAAGCAGAGAGAAGGTGGAGGCCCACAGCAGGACCCCTCCT